GTGGGAGACTTTGTTTATATTATGCCCCTTTGAGATGATGGCTCTTTAACTGTCAATTTCATAATGTTGAGAAAAGATCGACGGGTCAATTTTGGTCCAGAACTATGTATATCGGGTTAGACTGTTTGGATCGGGATCTAGTACCATTTTATTTTGTTTTATATCAAAATTTCTTGTTTTTTATACTCTACAAAATGATACTAATTTTATTTAATCTGGATATAACACAAAAATGAAATTTTCTCTTATAATTTATAATGATTAATTATGTGGAAGAAAATGAGTGATGTGGAGACTTTAAAATTATAAAGTAGGGTGTTGAATTTATCAACCATTGTATATAGAACATGACTAACTTTTCTTTTTTAAATGGGGTTCTTAACTTCGGCTAAGAGACGCTTCTTAGTTTTTTTTTAGATATTAACTAAGAAAACCTAATAACCGTCTCTTAGCTGAAAAATGTAAAAACAAAAACAAAATCAATTCATGAGTTAAGAACCCCCGGCTAAGAGACCGAGGTTAATCAAAGGAAAGCGATTAAGGTGTCCATCTCATCACAATCTTTAGTTATGCCACATCATCTATCAAATACTCGCGTACAAATTCGTCACTAAACCTTTGCGCTTCTTCTTCCAAAACGAACAATTTGCAAGCTTTCAAACTATTATTTTGCCGTCTCCAATTATTACTTTTGATCCTTGTCTTCTACTGCTCCTGGACTGAATGCGTTGATTACTAACTCTACCCCTATCTCTTTCGCCTACCATCACCAACCCTTATCTTTTGATTCTTGTGTTTTGCTTCTTTTGTATCTTAGATTGTCAATTTTTTTTTTTTTGACATCGTAAGTAACCAATTACACTACTATTCAGCAACCTCTTGGCCAGCATATGGAGCTAGCCAGCTTGGTGCGAAACTGTTGATGTATTACGTTCCGAAGACGCGTGATCTTCCACCCTTTGCGAGGGAGTCGGCACGGATGTTCAAAGACCTTGAGATATAAGAGATAGAGAAGTTGATAAATTCTGTAGAAAGAGCTTTAATCTCATCTAGTTCAGGTACCAATGCTGGCCAGTCTTCTTCCCCCTCTAGCAGCTTGATTAGTTGCTCGCAATCCGACTTAAAACGCACTTCTGTTCTTCCCGCCTTCAAAAGTTCCATCATAGCCCACACTACCCCTTCCACTTCAGCATGTAGTGGAGATGCGGCCACTCTCACTCCGTGCATTCCATACAGAACCGGAGCATTGCCATCAAGCAACACGAATCCGACGCCTGCTCTCTCCATATCGTTTACCCAGGAAGCATCTATTTGACATCTCCAACGGTTTGTGATGGTCAGCAGTGGTGTCCGATTTGGTACTTCTTGTAGTTCGTCACATTCCCCTGCCTGTTCCTCCGTCACGCGTCGCGCTAGCGTCCAGCTCTCCGCTTCCTTTACCGCGAGTTGTAATGAGTCCAGTGGCGAGATGTCCTTGTCTTTAAAGGCTTTCTCATTCCTCGCTTTCCAGATATACCATGCTATCCATGGAAAAGCAGCCAATACTTCTGAGTTCACTCCTCTATCCTTACCTCGGAATAACAAGAAATCAATATTTGAAAAAACAGACTCACACGGGAAGAGCCCCGGAAGTGTCGGGATATCAGAGACGGCCCAACACTGCAGAGCCGGCTGGCACTCAAAAAGGATGTGGTTAATAGATTCACAGTCGCCACCACACCGAACGCAAACACTGTCCTGCGCACAATGGCGATCTTTTAGTTGTTTTGCCGTGGCAAGATATCCTGAAAGTGCTTGCCATAGGAAATGCTTGAGCTTTCTGGGAGATTTAATTTTCCATATTTTTTTTTGAGCTCTGTTGTGCTTGGTTCAGACACGACAGAGGAGGAGGCCTCTGAGTATAGCTCATGTGCCACTGTGTACCCTGACTTTAATGTGTATAAACCAGACTTCGTATAGTCCCAGCAATAACTATCTTGTCGTCCTGTTCGGCTCACTCTAAGCGAAGTGATTCTGGGGATGTCTTCCGCAGCCACAAACTGATTTATTACGTCGAGATTCCAGGAGTTCCTTTTCTCGTCAATGAGATGGTGCACCCGAAGGTTCGTGTCATGGTGGGCCATTACGAGTATGGGGGATCTTGCGGGGGTCGTGGGGAGCCAAGGCTCGTCCCATACCTTTGTATCATGTGTGTTCCCTATCTTCTTCCTCAGGCCCTTACCCAGTACTTCTTTTGCGGCGGCTATACTTCTCCATCCATAGGAGGGTTATTTGCTCGTGCCACCATCATCGGGTTAGAGTGACGATAGTATCTGCCCTTAAGTACGCGAGCTAGGAGGGATTGAGGGTACTTAAGCAATCTCCACAGCTGTTCTGCTAGTAAGGCAAAATTAAACTCGTGGAAATCACGAAACCCCAGTCCTCCCTTATCCATTGGTATACAAATTTTATCCCAAGCAACCCAATGCAGTCCCTTATTGTTGAGTTTGGTGCTCCACCAGAATAAGGAAACTGCGCTCGTTAGGTTTTTTGTGATCCTTTCGGCAGTAGGTAACATGACATCGTATAAGACGGTACTGCTTGTGCGACAGCTTTTATCTGAATTTCTTTGCCACCTTTAGATAGGGGCTTTGTCGACCAGGAGTTCGTACGATCGTTTAGCCGCTCTTGTACATAGCTAAACACTTGTTTCTTGGAGCCAAAAATCTTTTCAGGAAGTCCGAGATACATTCCCATTCCACCTTCTTGATTAATGGCAAGCGACCTTTTCAGGTCTATTTTTGAGGAAGCTACAACCTTAGAACCGAACATAACTGAAGACTTTGATTTATTCAGTTGTTGTCCTGAGGCGTTGCTGTAGACATCGATGATTTTCATCAGTTCACTACACTCTCCTTGATCAGCCTTGCAGAAGAAAAGGCTATCGTCAGCGAATAGTAGATGTGCTCGCACAAGCTTTAGACCAGAGAGCTTTTTTCCTTGTTCTGCATGCTTGATCTGAGATATAGCACTTCAGTACAAAGAATAAAGAGGAATGGTGGCAAAGAGTCACTCTGTCGCAAACAGCGAGATGGTATAATATTTCCTTTCGCTTCCCCATTAATGAGGACTTGGTATGAAACCGATGAGATGCAGCGCATTATTCTATTTATCCATCTCTCATCGAATCCCATTTTTCCCATTAGTTCTTCCAAGAAACTCTATTCTACTCGGTCATATGCTTTGCTCATATCCGTCTTTATAGCCACGTATTTTTTTTGGCAGCTCGATTTCGTCCGTAGTGCGTGGAACATATCTTGAGCGATCAGGATATTATCAGTAATTAGCCTACGAGCCACAAAGGCCGATTGTGTTTCCGAAATTATTTTTGGAAGCACTTTCCTGAGACGGGAAGAGAGGACCTTGGAGATGATCTTGTAGCTTATGTTGCATAAGCTTATTGGTCGGAATTCTGTCATTGAGTTAGGTCTTTCCGTCTTCGGTATCAAGCATATATTGGTCTGGTTTATCCGTTCGTCTAGTTCTCCAGAACTAAAAAAATCTTGGACAATATGGACGATATCTTTACTAATGAACTTCCAGAACCGTTGATTAAAGAGGCTTGTCATCCCGTCTGGACCTGGTGCTTTTTCTGGATTGATCGCGAACACTACTTCTTTAATTCCTGCCTCTGTTGGTTCTCGCATTAGAGCTGTATTCATCTCTGCAGTAACCGATGCGGTACTAAACCGGAGAGCTTCCTCTCTATCACTCGGTACTGATGCAGTAAACAGATTCGTGAAGTAGTCTGTAGCTAAAAGTTCTATACCTTCCTCTGTTTCAACCCAATTACCAAGAGAATCCAGAAGCTTTGTGATGCGGTTTCGCGCTTTGCATTGTTTTGTCCTCGTATGGAAGAACTTTGTGTTTCGATCACCCACCCTAAGCCAAATAGCTCTGCTTTTTTTGTCGCCAGAATAATTCCTCCTCTCTATAAGCTTTGCAAAGCTTCCATTTCAGCTCAAGCTCCTCCTCCGGAGACAAGCTATCATTATTTTGGGCGCTGTCCAGTTCTTTTTTCAACATCTCGATTAGCTTCTGGTTGTGTGACGGGTTTCGCTTTTTCCATCTCGAGATAGCTCTCCTACATTGATTAATTTTTACATGTATGCTTCTTGTATCCGAGGGTATCTCGCCCCCCAGCTTTGTCTCACGGTCTCAGAAAAGCCTTCTTTGCCTAGCCACCTCTTGTCAAATCTAAAGCCTTTACGTCCAGTAGTTTCCCTCGATTTTATTTTGACCAAGACTGGCCGGTGATCTGAGCTCCATCGAAGTAAGTACTCCACATCAGTGTGGGAAAAAGCTTGGTGCCAGTCTTCATTTCCAAGTGCACGGTCAAGCCTATATTGCACTCTTCCGGATCTTCTTCTGCCTGCCTACGAGAAAAAATTGCCTGAGTATGGGAACTCAATCATTCCACATGCTGAGATCATATTCTTGAAAGGTAGGAATGATGAATCTGGTCTTTTTCTTCCTCCTTTTTTCTCCATGATACTGGTGATTTCATTAAAATCTCCCACCATAAGCCAAGGTTCAGATCTACGAAGGTTGATTCTCATGAGTCTCTCCCACACTACTTCTCGATGTTCGACTACCGGGTCACTGTACACAAAGGTAATAAACACTTTGTGTCCTTCAAGTGTAGCTTCTATATCAATCATCCGTTCATTCGAAAATTCAACCTTCACATCAGCATCATTCATATAAAACAAAGCAAGTCCACCGCTTACTCCCAATGGCTCCACGGTGAACAAATTATCATAACCAAACTCAAATTTATAGTCTTGCAAAAAATTAAAATTGTTTTTTGTTTCAGAAAGAAAAAGAAAACGAGGATGAAAGCAGCGGTGCAACTCTCGCAAGTGTTGCTTTGTCAGGTACGCGCCAGCCCCCTGACAGTTCCAGGCGATTGCATTCATATCTGAGTACTTGCCGGTTTCTGGGACACCGACGAACCTGGCTTAGACACTGGTTTTCTGCTTTTTGTTGCAGACGGATACACCTCATGGCGAGGGACTTTGCGCACTTCAATAGGCACCTCTCTGGCCGGTTTCATAGCCTTCACTTTTGGTGACAAGCGTCCTAGACTTGCTAGCTTCCTTGATGCTGTAGTTCCTTTAAGGTCCAGGTTTTGGGTGCCCCTTCTTTTCTCCGGCATTGCTTGTTGCAGTGGGATCCTCCAGTTTTTTTGCTCCTTGACGGGGTTTTCCAGTATCACACCCTTCTTCCTATCCTGACTAACTGGCATATCGCTCTCCTTTGTCGCAGCTGTTCTACTTTTTGTAGGCTCTGGAGAGAGTTGGGAGATCGCTTCAATTCGTCCATCCTATGTTTCTTCAGTGTGCATATGTCTCTCCATATCCTCGATATCATCTCGAAGCTCATCCTCAGTAATCAGATCTTCTGTTCCAACTAGATCAGCATATTCCTCAATATTTTCCTCTAGCTCTCTCTCCATCTTCGCCTTCTCAGACTCATATCCTTCTCCAAGGACTTCCCTTACCAGCATCTCATGATCTGGACCATTTAACTGCATCGCATCATCCTTATTTTTACCCATTTCTTCTTCTTGTATTCTATCCTCTGCTCTGGTATCCAAATCATGTGTAGTTTGTGCCTCTTTATCTAGTGCAGGTGCTTTAAAATTACTTCTAATACTTGCTGAGGCGTCATTCCATTCTTCTCCTGTGGCTTTCTTTGTGGTCTCTGCCATAGCATTTGTCTTCAGAAGTCCGCGAGGTACCTCGGCGTATGGGCTCTGCTTACTGGTCTCCACTCCACATCCCCCGAGGGAGGGGATCTTGAGTTCCGTCCTCGATTAAAAGAACGGTGGCCTTCTCGTCGTGGGTTCTCTGAAATGGTTCTCTGCGAGTCCAAGGATGTCCTACTTCTGGAGCTCATATATCCCTGATCTTTATGTTTTGTCACTTGCTTCTCATAGTGGTTTCCTTGGGGACGTTTTGGTCTCCATTCAGACGATGACGCAGTATCTCTGGTCCTCTCTCTTGAAAGAGCTCCGAAGCTATGTTGATACGGATGGTATCTCTCTCGATTGCGGGGAAGCTCAGAGTAGTTTCCAGTTTCTAGCCTATTCCAAACATTCTTTGATTGTGCATCACGTCTTTCTTTCAACTGTTTGCACAGGTCATGATCTCTCTCATCCTCCGTATGTCTTCCCCGACGTGTTTCTGGATATTCTTAATGAGTCATTCTCGTCTCCCTTCCCCCGGTTCCTCGATTATACATGTCAGAGTATGCTCTTGGGCTTTGCCTTTGAGGTTGGGAGAAGGTTTCTTTCAACGCCCTATCCTCTTTCTCTTTTTGTTCTATTCTTCCAAGGCGGTTCCTTTCTCTTTGGTTGTCATTCAGCTCCGGGCAAGTGCCCTCTTCATGGGTCAGTATGAGGATCTGTATACATCCTCATACTGAATCGTTACTTTCACCACGTCTCCGTTATCAAAGCCCACCTTACACTCAAACTTCAGGGGAAAATCACCATTTATAAAGATCTTCACCCGACTACCTTCCACATCAGCTTTATCAAACTTGCCCAGTGCATTCCCCACACTTTCAAAAGTCTCCAGTTTCTTGTAATGAATCGGAATTCCGGATACACACGCCCAGAAGGGCAAGTAATCGGGGAAGTCTTCTTTAATTGTTGGGGTCCATCTCTCAAGAGAGAAGCTCCACATATTGAAGTGGCATGGACGTTTTGCTCGCACCTTTATCAGATCTTCTTCCTTCTCAAAATCGAAAAGGAACTTGTTGTTTCCAAGATTTGTTCCTCTTACTCGGCCCTCCACGTCCCAGATTCGACGCTTCGGCATATGTTTTAACAGGGCCTCCACACTTCTTCCATCTGAGTGGAACATCCGTCCTAGTAGGGTTTGTTTGAATATTGCAATCAGATCCGAGTTATCAAACGCAGGAACTCTAATGATATCGTCCTCTTTCTCCGTTAGACAGCGTCTCGCCATTGTGTCGGTTTCTCTTCTCGGCCGGTGTCCTATCTGACGGCCCATTGTATCGTACTCTCCGCGAGCCGTGCAAGACACGTAAAAAATCAAACAAAAAACACACCAAGGGGGTGGAAAAAATCAATATGGGGTCCTCTGTATGCAATACAGGACGCCGTAGAAGGGACAGGAGTGTCGATAGTCTCCCTCTCGTCTTCTTCTTCTACCTTTCGCCCTCACAGATCCAGAATCGCCCCGGTCACCAGCATCTTAGATTTTCAACTGATGTTCATCAGTCTAAACAATCTAATCCATGAGAAGAAATTAAGAAAACAACCCTTGACGAAATCAGAGACATAAGATCAGATTATGAAATCTCAAACAAAACATATTAGACATCGTAGCCATCTTCTAATGTGCATTTATATATTTAAGACCTAATAAGTTATAGTAAACTTCTTTTAGATCACTGTTTGAACTGAGTCTGGGGATAACAAGTAAATGATCTACATCTTCAGAAGCAGGGGAGAGTCCGAATGGCTCCCGAGTAAGGGACGCACCTGGTAACTGTCCTTGTGCAGCAGACGAGCCGATGATCCCGATCCACTTCTTTCCCGGGGGGGCTATTCGAGAAGCTGCCGGCTCTTCGTCCCGAGCTCTCCCGCCCGTCAGTGGTCGAAGGGCAGGATTGGGACAACGTTCTCCAGACCAGATCAACTGTCGAGGCCGTCAAGACGGTTCTTAGGGAACGGGGCGGACAGGGTGTGACATTCATCATCCCGAGCATTAATCAGAGACCGTTGACGCCCCCGATCGGGTACCAATGCATTTACGAGTCGTATTTCCAGAAAGACACCCGACTATGGTTACCGATTCCCCGACTAGTTACTTCCTATTGCTTTCATCGGGATGCTGCGATTTCACAATATATAAACGGGTCGTTCCGAGTGGCGGTGGGTCTCATGGTCATGGCCGCGGAGAGGGATCTCCCGATGAGTGTCCAAACCTTTGAGGAACTCACAATGGCATCGAACATGAAGAACGGCTATTTCTCCGTGAAGATGCGACCGGGTTTAGGCGTTCTGCTAAGCCCCCCGAAAAAGACCGACTACTGGCAGCGTTGGTACTTCTATGTGAAGTCGGACGAAAGTGCATTTGAAGAACCACCGGGCGAGGACTTTAGGGTCCTTTGGAACTCGAGTTTTGGTAGAATACTTTTCCGAGCCAGGTTGTATACGTTCCGAATCTAACCTTCTTTCTTTTTTCCGTTTGTGTTTTCGCAGTTCAACATTCCAACACAAGAGACTATCCTGAAGACTTCCTCGGCGTTGTTCGAGAGCTCGCTCGTGCCACACCTCTTCGTTGGACCACCGTCTCATTCTCGCGGATAGATCGGTTATTGCCACGTATAACCCGAGGTACCATGAATCTCCCATTCTTATTTGCTTTGTCCGCTATCTCTGCCATTCCAATGCTGACCGTCGTGGCTTTCCCTCTTGTCCTTTTAGTTGATTGGAGATCCGACCTACCTGCCGAAGTACGAGATCGCAACAGGCTGTCCATCTCTTTCAAAGATCCCTCCTCTCCTCCGAAGAAAAGAAGAAAGAAGAATATGAAGGATATCTCGAGTCTTTGCGATATCTTGGAAAATGAGATCAAAAACGTGGCCCCTCCGCAGGCGCATGCTGACGTCAATGATGACGCAGCAAACACACCTCGAGGGGCGGTCAGAACTACGGTTGCTCGGGACGACAACGAGACTCCTCCAGTAGACAAGGCTAGTTCGCTGTCGAGGAAAAGGAAAAGATCGTCCTCCGACGTGCCCGATGGATCAGCGGTCGAAGAGACGGAAACTGTCCACGAGGAGGCGCCTCCCGTTGACAGGGAGAACGAACAGGCCCCGACGGTTCCAACTACCAGAGTCGTTGCCGATGATCCGACTTCTAAGATTCGTCCCGTCGATCAACAGGGAACTGGTGGGGAGCCGTATACCGTTCATGATCTTCCGTTTGAACCCGATGCTATCATTGAGGAGGAAACTAAGGCTACTATGACGGAAACAGAGGAGACGGCTGCATCGAAGAGCAAGAAGAAGAAGAAAAAGAGTAAGAAGTCCAGGTCTTCTGGAGAAGGTGATCCTTCAGAGCAGAGCTTGGTCCCGAGCAGCGGTAACGAACCAGCTCCCGAGAACGCCGCACCGACCCCTGCCGCTATTGACAATCCACCTGTCGTGACTGCCACGGTTCCTAGGACCGCGAGGGTTGCCTTGGAGAAGGGGGCGACACTTCCTCGACGTGCCTCGAAAGGATTTACCGACAAGGTCGACTTTCACCACAACGACGTCTCTCCCCTGTGCTCGATGCCAAGAAAGTGTGCGGATCTTGTCCGTCCAATTCGGGGGGGGGGGTCCAAGGGAGCTCCCTCCGGTCTCGAAGTTGATATTTGCGGAAGAATTCGTCGATTCTTCTGGTGCGGACATCTTTGTTAGTTTGTTTCTTCTTGCTTTCGGTCCTGTACTCTAACACTTCTCTTAATCGTTCTCCTGATTCTGGTTTCTTGCAAGCCATGGATCGGAAGACTTACATCATGGAGAAGTATGATCGAGCCTTCAGGTAGTCTAGGGACAAGTGCAAGGATCTCGAGGCCCAAGTTCAAAAGGCTGAGAAGAGAGTTGCTTCAAGGGATTTCCTTTTGGAGAAGCAGAAGAAGGATGTGCTCGAAGCGACCTAGAAAATCCTAGAAGGGAGGGATAGAGCGGTTGCTCGCAGTCGCGAGTATGAAAAGAGGACCGATGCTCTTGAAGAGGAAGTGAGGGTTGCTCGGGAAGCGTTGGCTAACTCGGAGCGCGAGAAAGCTGCAATGGCCGAGAGCATCAAGGAGAGGGACGAAGAACTTAAGAGACTGCGACAGTGTCGCGCTCATGAAGTTACCCTAGAGAGGGTCCGGGTTCAGACTGCGTATATCTCGAAGTTCCAACGCCACTTCGAGAGTACCCGGGACAACTTGTCTCGGCGTGATTCTTACGAGGAGAAGCACCAGCTATTCGGTCAAGCCTCCGGTGTCAGGGATTGCCTCGAAATGATTAGCAAAAACGGGCATCCCATCCCGAGAAATATCATCGGAGTCTTCGATGCCAAAGCTTCGATGTACAAGGCCGAGATGCCCAGCTTAGAGGTGGGAGATCTTCCCGGTTCCAGCCTGACGTTGTCTCCTTTGGTGCTCCCATCGCAGTTCGTAGATGAGCGCCTCATGTCCGGGATTGACCATTTCGGCTCCAACTCAAGGCTAATTAATTCTTCGATCGCTCGGGGCCTCAGAAGCCCGCAAGATGATCGTCCTGCTTTGCTTGAGAGCTTCCCAAGACTCCGTCATGGAAGTTAACACGACGTTGCCAACGGGCCCGGTCCCCGTGGCTGACCAAACGGAGGGAGACCCAGCCATGATAAGAGACGACTCCGAGAAATGAGTCGATGGTGCTGAAAATCTTATCGCCTCGGATACAGCTGCTCTGGCCTCGGACTTAGAAAATCCAGAGGATCTCGCACCGAACGTGACTCAAGAGACTCTGGAGGGGACTAATCTTGGAGACGAGGAGGTCAACGTCGAGACTTGAGCTTGGGAACGTTGCCCGCTTCTTTTCTGTAATCTCGGTTAAAAACCTTATCTGATGTAGGGTTGCCGTTAGGCTTGTATTGTATGAACTGTTCATCAAACTCGTGTTGTATGAATCACTTTTCTTTATGTTGAATCGAAGTGTTTTTCAAAGAATTGACACTGAATGGGCTTGAGGGAAGCCCTTTAGGATATCTTCGTCAACGAACATTCATCATAAGAATTAGTTAAGTATGTAAAATGAAAGTGTTCGATCTGCTTGACGGATATCTCGTGTGTTTCTGATGAGAAATGGAACGAATAGAGGAATTTTAGGGGGGACTCCTATTAACGAAAATCCATTACAACAACTGATTAGATGCGTAAAGTAGAAATATTTGTTTCGTCCACTGTTCCCAGTCTACTGATCCCAAGGGATGTCTGCGCTTTTGGGGGACGCATCGAAGTCAAATGGGACTCTTCCTCGGGGAAAACTCATTACACCCGGGTGCCGGTCTAATGTGAGTCTTGTTCGGTCTTGTTGAGAGGTGTTCGTAAGTGGGAAGGATGGACCTTGTTCCGAGCACGAGTGGGTCGCCGTGGCCTTTTGTGGATACATGTGTGC